ACAATCTTGATCACACTAGACATTCAATATATTCAATACATAATATCACATATTAATACATACCAAGCCACCAGTATAATGTAGCTGAGATAACATGAATGACTGCCAAAGCTAAATATTAACTCATTATTAAAGTTAGAAAGACTTGTATTTTTTTGGTTATACTATTACCTATGTACATTCTGTTCACTAATGGGGTATTTGCAACATAAACTTTTGATGGTTCAGTTGTAGTAAACGTATCATTATCAGATGAACAAAAAATTCTTGTATGTCTCACTTCAGAGACTGCTGAAGAACCATTAACTTGTGGATTAAAATCAATTATTAATATTCCAATTGCATATGCCTAAAATTAATAAATATAAAAAAAAGTATCAATCTTATATATCATTTTCATTCTTTCTCATGTATTATTTCAAGCTACAAATGGGGATAGTATTCATCACGTTAATTATTTTATGCTATTGAAAACATACTAACTGCTAGTTGATACGAAATTTTTTTTTATGCGTACCAGATAAACTAAATTTGCCAACATATATCGATTTCTGATAGTTTTGTTGAAACTTATTGGTATACGTTTTCGAATTTGTGTCCATGTTAATGCTTGCCATAAGCTATCAAATGCTTCTGGTTCATGATAAGGAGCTGTTAAATCATTTGCGTCGTCGTCAGACATTATTATTTTAAATAATCAATATCACAATAATACCATAGGTTTCATGGCCGAAAAATTTGATTTTTTTGATTATTTTTAACAATAATATTTTAGAGTGTGTAATTTAAGCATAATTAAAAGCAATAAAACAATGAAAGTGCTGCTTGGACGTTCTATTATCTGTGTGTGCGTGTGCCTATACGTATATAGATAGCCTAAACAAGAAAAACGCAAAATATTGAATGAATAAAAATATAAACGATAACAAAAACGAATATATAAACTCCATATCTATCTCCCTATACATATATGTATATACGTCAATCTGTAGACAGTAGAGTAGGGTGGGTCTAAAAGTGTCGATTAAAAATTTGAATGAAACGTATGTTATTTCTGAACTTTTATGTTTCCTTCACTTATATAACGAAAAATTCAAATAAACAGCTAGATGAAAATCTACACTATCAAATTTTATAAGTAAAAACAAAATTAAGATGCTGATACTTTGTATATATATTTGTAAATCTAAAATTTTTCTTTTTCAGTAGTCTAGCATGATTAACTTGACAACGTTAAAACAAACCTGATCGTAATCAAATTCGAAATACTTTGAAACGACAGAGTTTAAACAGCTTTTATAGAGGAGTGAAGTTTATTGTTTCAAAATATAATAAAATGATAAATGATTAAAAATTTGTTGAATATATGATGTCTGTTATATGAGGTTAATCGAGAGGGACATTTGCTTAGCATGAGCAGATAAAAAAGCATATTAAACAATTGATTCTTCTAATAATGCTTTACGATGTCTTTTGCCACTGTGTAACTTTTTATATTGGGTGTAATGTACTTACAAGAGCATGATTATAAATAGTAATTGGACGTTATCATACTGTCGAGAAATAACAAAGATCATTTTTTGTAGTCAATAGTAGTTGTCATGTCACTTTGATTTACTTTTGCTTCGGTTCATAAATTTTTGTTCTTGTGAGTTGACTATACTGCCACCCTTTTTGTGTTGTTTATTAATTAATTATTTTATTGATAAGTAATATTGTATAGTATATTATGAAGAGAGCATCCTTTCTAACTAGCGGCAGTTTTTGCTTGTTTTTTTTTATTTCACAATCGCTAGCTGTAATATATGAGAAACGTCTAAAACTATTAAATAGAGCGATTCAACAGATAGATCAATTTCTTCTCTTTTTCTAATTCGAAACTGTATGTTTTTCTTTGGTGTAGTGTGCGTGATTTCATTACAAACTGTCACTTAAGGGGGCGGTCCCCGTTTTTTTCCAGCAGTTTGTGGAGGACACTTCGCAGTATACGTCTCAACAAAGCTTTCAGCTCCCGGATTTATAGTTTTTGATAAAAAAATTTTTAAGTTTTTTTCGGGTTTTTTGCCCTATTTTTAAAATTTCAATAAAAACTTCATTTTTTGATATGAAGAGTTGATTCTAGCGTAGTTCGATAGAGAACATTAATTTGTATACGGAGAAAAACTTTACATCGTTCCCAAATGAAGTTTGATGGAGAAATTTAAGTTTCACCTTCCCGAGGAAATTTTACAGCTAAAAGTATTTTGAAAAAAGCCTTACGCCTAGTTTCGCTCGAAGCAAGCATTTTGAAATAAAACTCTTGATACAAAAGTTGTTCAGAATCGAATTCCGGAGTCCCTCACGAGCGCTTTTTTAAAAATTTTCTTTTTTTGCTTTTTAAATTGAAAAATATGAAATTTTAGGATTTTAAAAATCGTAAAATTTAATTTAAAAACCAAAAACAGAAAAATTTGAAAAATGCTTTCGTGAGGGACTGCAGAATTTGATTCTGAACAACTTTTGTACCAAAAGTTTTGCTTCAAAATGCTTCGAGCGAAACTAGCCGTAAGGTGGGGTAAAAAATCTTCGCTGTGCCAAAAAGCAGTGATATTTTCAAGGTTTTAATTTTTCTTTAAGCCCTCCCGATTTGTAGGGGATACTTGGAAGTATATGTCCTGAAGTTTTCTCAGCTTACTTACATTATTTAACTGAGAAAAAAATTAATTACTTGAAAAAATGTTGTTAAATTTTTGAGCACGGGGTTATTATTATAAAATTTTCTGTCCATTCTCCACTCATCATAAAAACTTAGTTCTTGCCTAGATCCATAGAGAAATGTGTGGAGAATATTTACTACGAGAAAATATGTAAACATTTTTGTTCTTTTCTTCCGGTTATTGACTAATTAGTACTGATTAACGTTAATTTAGACTACTCTACTAGCTTAAAGTCTCATTTGTAAAATAAGGACTCAACGAAAAATTTCAAGCAATACCTCATCTGATAGAGAATTTCACGAGCTACAAGAGAGGCTACCTTTAAGTCTGTTTTTATTCCATTAAAAATCTCAACATAGTCTTTGTTTCCAAAAAACATAGCAAGTTAGTGAATTCACTACTGTTAACGCCCAAAAAAAAGCAAGTATATATAACTGATATCTCTAATGAGCTCCTGCTCCATATTCAGAAATATCACGTTCAACTGTCAGTGACTTTGAACAAGCCTGTTTTTTCTGTTCAATTACTGTCTCTCGTTTTGCTACTACAGACTCGGCCTTAGCAAGACGTTTTGAATCTTTTGCTAATGAACTGTTTAACAATGAATAATTAACATCTAATCCTAATGTATCGAAAAATGGTAACAGACCAACACGACCACGATTGAAAATTATAACTGCCTCAGCTGCTGTACCCCTAACACTAATAAAGCCATGATTTTTTGATTTAGACAAAATAGACCATATCTAAACACAGAACAGGTAGTAGGAATGCCAAGGTGAACAAACGGTTATAATTACCATGGAATTCAGAGACTCATTTGAATTCTGAGTCAGCCCGCGTAAACTTCTACGAAGAAGTTCAGGGTCTGTCAGATCCTCGATTATTTTGGATAATACATCACGAAATACAGGATCTAATCTTTGCTTGACTTTATCACCACTTTCTGGTTGATTTGTATATTTTGATTTATGGAATGAGCACCAGGTATCCGGAGTAGTAGGGCAGTATTTATGCTGAATAGATTTATTTTGATCATTAATATTATGACAAAAGGCTGTCATGCACTTTTTCTTCATCAACTGAACAGCTGTTTCTTCCTCCATGTCTATAAGGAGAAAAGATTATATTAGAGGGGAAAGAGAGGGGCTTTAGAAACCTACCCTTGGCTAACCGACTACCTTGCCTAATAGCCATACCATAAGACTCGGATAAATGTGTAATCATTTTGTCAGCCATTCGACCGCCTGAACCACCATAAAATTTCCCATCGGCTAACCTACAAAGTATTATTCTCTCTCAAGCTTATCGCTGGAATCACTAAGGATATTCTCACCGTTGCCTAACCATGACCAGCAGGGTTGCCAGATGTCCCCCCATAAGGGGGACAATCCCACATATAAAGATTTGTCCCCCGCGAAATCTGTCCCCCTGGGTGTCCCCCTTTTCAAGGATTTTCTTCCGATTGTCTTAAATGCACTTTTCACTTCTGTACTACACTTTCATTTCAACAGATCTTTAGCATTTAATGCCTTTTCTTATGTGAAATACAGTCTGCAT